TATACTGTAGGCTGTTTAATTTTTATGAATTTTGATAAAATATTGACACACAGAGGTTGCCATGTTGTTTACGCTGCAATGCATTCTGGGTAAATTAGATCCTTGGTCTGATTGCGCTACCTCCATCCAGCCAAAACAGCCTGTTCCCTCTGAGTTCACAAAATGCTGCCAAGCACAACATGAACATGTGGTGGAATGTTTTTTTTTTTTTTTTTTTTTTTTTTTAATGTTTTTTTAATCATGTGCTTTTGATCAGCTCAATGAGAAGAACAACTTCCTGTCTTACTTCAAAATAAGAGTATTTTAGCATTAGCTTGCATTTACTTGAAGGGAAAGTCTTGTACTGATGGTAAATGAGTAACCCTTTGTGGGAGAGATTTCAGTGTGATGGCAAACACTTAGTCACAATATTAATAATATCGTGTTATGTCTCAACACAAGCTTTCTTTGTACCCATATTGAAGATTATGCAACTGTTTTCAACATCTGGATGTTACAAAAAGTCAGGATATGTTTTTTTTTCTTCTTTTAAGATTGCAGATCTGTGAATTCACAGACCTCTACTACACAATAAACTACAGTAGACTGCTTGGCTGGACCAAGTGAAAGCTTGTAAAAAGTTGTAAAATTTCAGCTGAGCCACATCTCAAGATAGAGAGAACAATAAACCTGAAGGCACTGGGAGCAAAGTAACAGACCCAGTTTTAAGCTGTGACAGAACTGCACAATGCAACTTAGCGCACTTAAACATTGAGGCAACAGTTCATAAAAGTCTCTTTGAACTGAAACACAAGGAAATTAAAATTAAATTTTATGTGGTTAATTCTTTTTTCTCTCTGCACAAAGTTGATAATGATTTACAGTGGTACAAAATAATCACTTGACAAAACACGTTTAACTTATTTATGAGCATTCTTCAGAAATTTGCAGAATGAAATTAAATATGCAAAAAGTACAATGTCACTTTGGAAGTCTTTGTACGTTCGCCTGATATTTTTATGTTGTTGATTATCTGGTAATTACAAGCAGTAATTGGTTTCTCTGTTATGCTCTTCCTTCCTGTAATCTGTTGCTGGAGTTTTAAACCGAGAAAAGCACAATGAAGCTGACTATGAAATGAATAACAGATTACAATTACATGTGTCTCAACACAATGCAAGACATTTGAAAAATAATTAGTAGATTTTACGATATGTTGTCAAACATTAATTATCGTGCAGTTTATATGCCTGTGCAGTGCTGTTGCACGCCGTTGAACAAGCTGCCTCAAACATCTTCATTAGGATTTTCTGTGCTGTCATCGTCACTCATCAGCTGAGAAAACAAAGAGAGCACGGTTACAAAGATGATTACAGTGATTAGCAACAAAAATGACTGAATTCATTAACACAAGCAATTAGGACCTTTTTTTTTTGTCTTTTGTTGTTACTCACGTTCATTGCAGACTCACGCCTCAGATTCATCATCCACTGCGCTGGATGAATTCTTGAACAGCCATCTGTTCTTGTGCTGAGTGTGTCCGAAGCCCTCATCGTAATTCCCCTTTCGTTTGAACAGTTGTTGGTAGTGAAATATGCAGTAGAATTCACCGTTCAAAGGTGTGTAAGTTTGCATGCTAAAAAGAAGTACAAGTTAGTAGCAAATCTAATTGCCCACACTGCTTAGTGGCTAAAAACTTTAACTGGAAGAGAAAACTTTAAGGCGGGCAGAGTTCCCACATGTGAAACATTGCAGTATAATATATGGTGAAGATTGCTTTAAAAAAAAAAAAAAATCTTGTGAAGCATTGTGTTGTTTGCGATCTACATGACTCCTTTTCTGTTTTACTGTAATTTGCTCGCTGTAGCCTAAATGTGAACAGGATTTAGGGATATTTGTGCTGTTTTGCCTTTTTTCTATACAATGCTAAAGCTAACAACATTAGTTGCCATGGTATAAAGTATCTGTTGATTTTGGAGACTATTTCCATCAGTCTCCCACTTATCATTGTATTGCTAAATCCGTATACAATTCAGAAGAAAAAAATGTCATAACCATGGCAGATTTAGGTTTAATTCTTCTGAAAAAAAAAGTGTCGATTGAGAATTTTTTTAAAATAAATATTTAATAAACAATATAGCATGCCAAAGAATCATTACCGTACTCAATGATGAGTGGAAAACTGTTAATAACATTATACCTATCAAATGCTTATAATACATGCTGTCCAGCTTTTTGACTGATGATGTATCTCCTTGCCATCACCCTAATCATTAACTTCCTTCAGATACTCCCTGTCAGAGTTGAGGCATTGGCCACACCAAAATCTTAATAGTATTTCCAGTTAGAAGAAACATGTCAACTAAGATTGCATTGAACTTAAACTGCCAAGAATATGAACAACATTTGGCAATGTTGGTAAAACGTGGAATCAAAAGAGGAAGAAGACCTGATTAAAACTGAAAGAGATCCTTGCGAAACATATTTTGATATCCCACCTTAGTTTTTTCTTGCACTGTTTGCAGCAGAAGCACGTTTTGTGAAAAATATATTTGTCTGCTGTGACTTTTTCCATCTGATAAACTGGCTTCTGACAGGCCGAGCACGTCTCTCGAGAAGCTGGCTGAAACTGCTAAGAAAAACGAGACTGGGTTTACTTCAAGTTCGAGAGGGATTTTCACAAAACGAATTTATTAGAAAGTTGCTGATAGAAATGTAAAAAGTACCAAAATTCAAATGCAAAGTAGAACAAAGAGAAATTGACGTAATGTTGAAGCGGCAATAGTCAAAAACCTAAGAAATGCCTTCAGCAATAAACTCATAGATGATCAGTCTATTTAGCAGTCAAATAAGTTCTTAGTAGATAATGAATATGTTGTGAAAACATGAAAGACAAACACTTATCTGTCCAGATACCCAAATCATTAACCTGATTTGCTGGCTGCTGAACCTCTGGATTGTTTTGCTTTCTGGCTGCCTTGCAACAAAAGCAGAGGTTTTGGATGTCTAAGACCTGTTACCAGAGTTATCTGTCCTCTCATAGTTTTCCACTGCTGTTCCTCTGATGCTGTTCCCTTCGCTGTCAGTTTGGACCTGGAGCACACTAAGCTCTCGATTTTGTTGGCTGTTAGAAGTCTGCTGTCGTCCTCCTTTCTTGGGTTTTACTTTTTTACCTGGAGTGGGGCTATTGCACGTCACTGTCTTTGTGGTTCTGAATTTTCCTTCTGGCCTCGGGTTCAACTGACACTTCATACAGATTAAAGTTTCTGGTGGCACAACCTCTGTTTCATCTGTTTTTCTTGCTGCCAACTGAATAGAAATTAATGCGGGTGAAGATGGAGGGCTTTGCCGTTGCTTTGTAGAAACCTGATCTGTGCTAGGAGATGCTGCAGTGCCTGTAGAGCTGCTTCTTTGTGGAAAACAACTTTCTTCTGATTGTTGTGGCTTGGTTGTGCTTAAATCAGTTTTGCTTATGTTACTAGAATGTGGTGATTCTTGCACAACCCCCAGGGATTCTTTGAGCAGATTTGATAAATTTGCAATATCTGAGTCAGACTTTAGTGTAGAAACAGAAAGAAGTGCTTTCTTAATTGTGTCCTCTATATCCTTAAGTCTAGCTAAAGTCTGCTCTTTAAGATTCATTATTTCCTCACTAGCACGCTCAAGATCTCCATAAACGTGCTCCATTGAGGACTTGCAATGTGTTTTGTCTGCTGATGACCGCATCACTTTGTCTTTATTTTCTGCTTTGACCTTCTTTCGCCCTGTTCTGTCCGTGTTGACGATCCAGTCAGGGACGTTCTCAAACACTCTCCTGAGAGACGTCACATCGACCTCACTCGTGTCGCTTTCGATTTCTTCTACGCGACTCAGAATGCCTTGCAGTTGCTCTTGCTTTCTCAAGTGTTCAAAGATTTCCATTGCCGCTGTTACGTTTCCTCTCACAATCTCATCCATGTGTATGGACAGTCGCTGTCTGCGTTCATCATCCGTTTCCATTCTCGCTTTCTTCTCCCTCATCTCGACTTTGATGTCTTGCTTTGTGTCCTTGTAATGCCTATCTGCACTGTCAGCAGTTATTTTACAGATGTTGGATGATGGATCAGCTCCAGTGTGGACAGTGCCATCTGCAGTGCATTCTCCTGTTGAGTGTTTTTGGGTTTTGTCACCGGACTGAAGATGTTTCACTCGTTTTGGCTTTACAGGGGCCGTCTTTTTTGATGACACAACTTTGCCGCCGAATTTTTGCCGAGCCTCATGGAAGTTTATATGGGTTTCATCCGTTTCAGATATTATGTCATGTGCGGATGCGCTTTGAGACATCTCTTTCTTTTCAATGTTTTCTATCTTTTGTTGTCTTATATCTGATTCATTACTCTCTAAGAGCATGGTCAAACATTGCATGTCAGACTTCCCTTTTATTTGTTGCAACGTCTTTGTAGATTTGTCTACATTGTAGTTTTCATGATGATCCAATGACTTATTGGTAGTGTCTTCTTGACCTAAAAACAATGTTGTTGCTGATGGCTGGGAAACCTGACAAAACATTTCTTCAGTTCCCATAGCACTAATTTTGTGTTCCTCTGGATGCCTAGTAGCAGATGGCTGACTTACTTCTTGTTTCTCTTTCAAATGTTCAGGTTTAGGTGGAATTGGTGGTTTGGGGCCAGTGACTCTTTTGCTTTTTGTTGACACAACACATTGAGTAGGCCTGTAATGGGTTTTGATTGGATGTGGGGGATCTGCATTTGCCACAATTACTTCTTGCTTTAGTAATTCTTTAGTTAGGCATGGAGGCTCTGCCTTTGCCACATTCACTTGCAGCTTTGCTGGATCTTCAGTTGGATGTAGAGGCTCCACATTTGCCACAGTTACTTCTTGGTTGAGCAGCTCTTTAGTTGGACATGGAGGCTCTGCATTTGACACAGTCACTTGTGTGTTCATTAGTTCTTCAGTTGGGTGTGGAGGTTCCACATTAACCACAGTTACTTCTTGTTTGGGTGGTTCTGTAGTTCGGTATGGAGGCTCTGCATTTGCCACAGTTACTTCTTGTGTTACTGGATCTTCAGTTGGGTGTGGAGGCGCCACATTTGCCACAGTAATTTCTTGGTTTAATGGTTCTTTAGGTGGGTGTGGATGCTCTGTCTCTGACAAAGTCACTTCTAGGTTTAATGGTTCTTTAGGTGGGTGTGGATGCTCTGCATTCACTAGGTTCACTTCTAGGTTTAGTGTTTCTTTGGTTGGGTGTGAAGGCTCCACATTTGCCACAGTTACTTCTTGGTTGAGTGGTTCTTTAGTTGGGCGTGGAGGCTCTGCATTTGACACAGTCACTTGTATGTCTATTAGTCCTTCAGCTGGGTGTGGAGGCTCCAAATTTGTCACAATTACTTTTTGTGTCAGTGGTACTTTAACTGGGTGTGGAGGCTCTGCATTCACTACAGTCACTTCTAGGTTTAATGGTTCTTTAGCCAGGCGTGGAGACTCTGCATTGATTACATTCACATCTATGTTTAGTGGTTCTTTCGTTGGGTGTGGAGGTTCTGCATCTAACAAAGTCACTTTTAGGTTTAGTGGTGATTCAGAGGGGTGAGAAGGCTCTGCATTTGATGCAGTCATGTGTAGGAGTAGTGGGTCTTCAGTTAGGTGTAGAGGCTCAGCATTTGCTGTTTTTGGGTGTGGAGGCTCCACATTTGCCACTGTTACTTCTTGGTTGGGTGTTTCTGGCTTTTGTTGTTCTTGATTTGATTTAGGCTCAGCCAAAAAGCAAAAGTCTGTAGCACTGTGCTTTTGAACATTACTTTGTGAGTTTTTCTGATACGATTTATTGGACTGTCTGTATATCATAGCTGCCCTAATGTCTCCTCTTGTCACATTAATATTAGACTTCTCCAAGGAATCCAACGCTGCTTGTATTGTGCCCTGACAACAAACTTCTTCTTGTTGTTCAGGTGTTGCTTCTGAAATTTGTTCAGGAACCAAATAATTTTTAACGTTTTCATTTTTAGCTAATTCTCTAAATCCTTCATTAATTTTGTTGCAAGTCTCAGAGGTGTGCTCTTTCACAGAACTGGCCTCTTCTCTGACCATTTCTGTGTTTTTGGGTAGCCAGTTTGATTCAGGTGCTGAGAAAATTCCATCAACTAATGGAGATTTATTACTTTTTTCTAAGCATGATCCCACTTTTGTGCTTGAGATTTCTTGAGCTGATTCTGCTTCTGCTCTTGACAATGATACAATGGGTATTTCAAACAGTTCTTCTGTGTTGGCTTCTGCCATTTCAGCTTGTTGAACCCTGTTTTGATTCTGATGTTCAGAATTTGCCAGAACTTCTTTAAGCCCTTGACCGAAGCAAGCATTACAACTATTACAACTATTGTTGGACTGTGGAATCAAGAATGCCCCCGTATTGCATTCTATAGGAGATTGACTTTTTCCAGATGACACTGCAGAAGATTTGACACATTTACTATGACTAGGACCTGTTCCTTCAGAAAACATGTCTTTTAGTCTTTTTACATCCACTTGGATACACTCTTCAGATGGATTACTTACATGGTGATGATGAGATTCATCATCCAGTCTGACAGCTGCTTCACTTTGACTATGTTCAGTGCTGTGAATGGTTTGTTCATCATCATGAAGTGATCTTAAATACTCCAAGTCACCCTTTTCGATGCAACTTTTGAACAATTTTACATTGGCCCTAATTGACCCTGACCTGGCTTGGTCTTGACTGCTCTTTGGAACTGAGACTGTTTCTGCCTCAGGTTCATCATGACCTGCACTGTTTGGAGGGCTGTAGCCCTTCACGTCTTCTTCGTCAAAGTACTTGTAGAGGGAATAAACAATGACTTCTGCACCGTTTCTGACGTCTTCTTGAATGATCACCCCTTTTCTCAGGGAGTTGTCCTGATTGAGGATATCCTCAACCAACTGAACTACATTGGCAGTTTTTAACTCAGCATCTTTGTTTGCACTGAATCTATGCTGGTGAGCCAGTGCATCCACCACTGTGGCCTCCATAAACCCTTTACTATCTTCCTTAAGGTAAATTATCTGAGGCTTTAGGTTTACCCGTGGTAGCAGCTGGACTATAAAATTTTGTGCACCACCTTCAGCCACCTTGTCATATTTTATCTCAGGTCCCCTATCCGATATTGTGAACTGCGACTTTTTAGCTATCATTGTCTCGCTAACCTCAATAATTGCCCCATCTGAGTGAATGGCTTTCACACAGTGGAGGAAATTTAACGTTTCTTTGATATTTTCCACCAGTGTCTCCATTTCATCCTGATTCTGATGTCTAATTTTATCAAATGGCATTGATTCAAACAGGTGTGTTCGGTTCTTTACGTTAGCAATCGGATAATCTTCACTTGCTACAATGCTTTGATTTTGAGTGTTTGATGCATGGCTTAAAAAATTCTCTCTTTCTATGTTAGAGGAAATAAAGGGGTTATTTTGGACAAGTGCTGCGTTTGTTTTTATTATTTCTCTTTTTCTCTCTGATTCAGTAAAACTTATGAAACTCCCCTCAAGTGGGAGATCATGACAGGGAAATGCTGCTTCAGTGCAAGAAAAGTCACTTTCTGTACTTTCACCAGCAGCACCAACACACAGCTTTTGTTCTTCTAAATTCCTGTCCCCACTTTTGTTATTGCCTTGTGTGTTGCCAGCAGAAGATATTTCAGGTGGTTTGTTCAAAACCATAGGAACATTCCCCTGAATCTCATCTGGCTTTACAGTGCTTGAACGTTTATTCTCAAATACCTTTCTGTTAGCCTTAACATCTATTTTTGCCACCTGTTCCTCTACTTCTTTATTATAATTTGATGTTAAGTCAGGAGATTTATCACTTGTCATCATCCCTTCACAACTCTTAGTGCAAGGTTCATCTTTTAGCCCTTCTAAAACAGTTGATATTTTACGATAATCCTGTCTTTTCACCGCTCCCTCTTCTACATAGATCTTTGGGGTGCTATAGCTGCTGCCACGGTTTTCAAATATCAAGCATCTTGAAAGAACCTCTCCCTCATATCCGGTTTCCCCACCAGACTCTGATTTAGAGCTCAACACTTCAGCAAACTCCTCATTCACAACATCATCCAGCATCTTTATCTCTGGGCAGGTATGCTTCAGGAGCCGTCTCAGCTCGTTTTTCTGTCGTTGCTGGAATATCTTTTCCCTGGAGAGTTGGGAAGACATCAGCTGTTCAGAATGTCCCTCAGCGATCTCTTCAAGTCCCTTTTCAGGCTCGACTGGGGGCTGTGGTGGATGGTCATCTTTTCTTTGTTCAGAGTCTTCATCCGTCTTAGAGGAATAAAGTACGGGTCTTACAAAAGCCATCTTTTTTTGATAGCGATGATGATTAAATGAAAGCCATGCTCCAGAGGAAGGGTTAGGGAAAAGGCAAACACGTCACATAAAAGGGAGCTGCATGTTATCTCCGGATTCAGGCATGAATGCATACCATTCAACAAGCCGGGTGTCAACGGATTGGGAAAACTCCAACATGGGGAAAATAACTTGCATTGCAACAACAAAAGAAGCCGCATAAGGAATGAAATACGTGCTGATCAGCAATAACGTTATGCCATCCAGATTAGTGGCATTATCGATTAGCCCATGCCGTCGTCTTTCATTACTCCATGATCCTGTTATTGCTGGTGCTTCAATGCTGGACATGGGTCAGAATAGGCAAGCTGACAGTTCTGCATCCCCACACTCCAGACACTATGATTCACTGAGTATTTAGAGACCTTTCAATAAGCATTAGTGCTTGATGGATTGGATGACGGACAGCCTTCTCTCCCCATGTGCATCAGTGACCTTTGGCCGCTCAGTCTTGCCATCACAATTTGACCCTGGCTAAATTCACTGAAACCCTTGTACTTGCATGTTTTTCTAAATTAATGTCATCTCAGTTATCTTAATGTTATGCATGGTCAGTGAACATATGTGGAGTGACTGACTTTCCAGATAATTTTCATTCATTCAAAAGCAACTGTGCAATTTTCATCACTCAGGTCAAGCAGTCAGTTAGCAGTCAGTAGGGAAAAATAACACTAGGGAATTGGATTGTTACTGTGACAATGTAAATGAACCAATTCTACCAACTAAAGCATCACACAACAACAACAAAACATCTGGCGATGGGCTGCTTTACCTTAGTTAGCTTGGTCCACTTCCCAGAATCTCTTGGTTGAGCATGATCCTGAAAGGGAACAAACAACACTTACTTATGTTATAAACAGAAGGATTCCTCTGCCAGACGTTACTTGTGACCATCGTGCCCCAAGAAAACAGTCGATCATGGTTACTTGCCAGACTCTCAGCAACTTAAAAAATTATAGTATCAACTGCGAAATATAAGGGCTTCAATGATATTTCTTTCATAGAAATAGTTAGGATTCATCCCTACAGAACAAACTCACTCATAACATTTAAAATAAATAAATAAATAAATAAATAAATGTCCTAACTGTCAGATGGTGGCAAAGTCCTTCCAATTATTATCCTTGGTATATCTTCACAGTAAGACTTGACACAGTTGTGACGATTTCTTGACTAAGGATTTTTACACATCTTCACCAGGGTAGCCAAATTATTATTATTTTTTTTATTTTGTCATTCATTGTGTCTTTTATAATGACAGTCTCCATAAATATGGAGTGAAATGTGGAGTTTTGTGTTTCTTCACATTTGATGTACCATCCAAAGCTTTCAGACATTATGCTTATATGTTTATTTGACATAAATAATGTTTTTAGGGAAGATATGCAAAATGAATGGATGATATTAAACACAGAGTTTGATGTTGATTCAGGTCTGTGACTAAAACTAGTTTAGTTTGACCTGGATGAAAAAAAGGACAAACAAAGATATAATTAACAGACTGACCTTCTCCACTATAGAAGGCCTGTTTGCTGATTCCTTATTTGCCACTTTTGACATATAGAGAGCAGACATAGCTTTGACCGAGACAGACAGTGTCTCTTTGGTTTGGTTGAAGGAGCTGTCTCTGAAGTCAGCAGCTGACCTCCTCTTTTCATCTGCAGAGACATTAGACATTAGTGTAAGCTTGAAACTTTAACACACATTGTACTTTGCATGAGGAGGGGGGGGGGTCAGTGAGTCATCCGCTAACATAATGCTTAATTCTCCTGCGTTAATGTTCACGTCGTCACTGTGTTTGTTATCAGGTACTAATTTAGGGTCCTGCTCAGAGTTCTTCCTGGGCTGATATTTACCAGCTGTCATGTGGCTGAGTTATAAATGTATACTTGTGGTGGAGCAGGAAAGATACCTGACTCCACTGATACACATACTGACGGTTAGAGCGCGAGTGAATCCCCACAGCAAAAGCTAAACCAGGAGTGTAGGCTTGTAGTAAATTCACTTTGTTAGGGTGAAAGCAATGAGGCCGTCCAAGCTTTCCAACCTCAAAGACTTGGAGCTGATTGCCAAAGATACATTTCCGGATAACCAGTAAAAACATGTAAGAGACACAAATCATAATAATTGTTTTCTATTGGAAATTGAGACATTTATAACTACTTTAACATGTTCATTTAAAAAAAAAATCTGATAAAAAAAATTATGTTTTTTTGGAACTACTTTACATTATTTAATTATCTTTGGAGACAAACCTTTCTCATTTCTTATCAGAAACAAACTTCTAGAGAAAAATTATTTTAAATCGAAATTGCCAAGTGGTACTAATAGTTTTAGCCTAAACTATGCACATCACGCTATAGTGGATCCTTGCCTATTTGGGGTTCCTTATTCACAAATGCACCTGTTTGCTGACTTTTTTGTGGAATGTAACGCCAAATTATTTGCGGAAAATTTGCCTATTTGCATAGTATTTTTGAGGAGCAAAAATATTCAAAAGTAAATGCTGCTTGGAAAGCTGAAATACCTAAACGGTGCGACTCGACATGATGGAGCTCGGCTCTCGTTCCGCCCCACAGATCACACACTCTCCTCCTCAACTCAGTTCCTCCAGACTAGCGGCAACATCAATTAGCAAATGCCTGGTGGAAGTGTGCGTCCGCTGACCTTGTCAGACGAACTGCTTCTCAGTGCCTCTCTCCTAAGGATGGTTGGAATTGTTTTAATGGACAACAAACGATTGTTGTGATGATTCGCTGACGGGGGGATTGTCACTGTATGGCTAGGAAGTTGTTAAAGGCACAGAGGCCAATTCCAAGCCATCAGATGCAAAATCAAAGTTCTTTTTAGTTTTTTTTTTTAGATTCCATACAGCATTTTCATAACAACTGAAGGCAACATAGTTATTTGATTGTGATATAAAATGGCTCAGTGTTACTGGAAAAATAAATAATAGTCCCAAACCCCCAAACCTTTAAGCAAATGTGAGAAAAAGTTGTCTCTCCAAGAGTCTGCTGGTAAAAATATTTCAAAAGATTAAAACTGGATATGTTTTGTATATAATCATTACAGGTTGCTACCTTGAGGTTGAGAGCTGTTTTTTGTGGTACTTTTTCCCACATTTTGTCCTGTTGAATCATGTAGGTTATATTGAGGGCTTAGGCAGCAAGCCAGCATAAATTAGCTCATAAGTGTCATGTTGCGAGGAAATGATACATGGTCTTGAAATCTTTAGGAAAATAAAAAAAAATGGAGCAGTGTAGCCTGCATTTGTCTTCAGTCCTCTCTACTCTGTTTTTCCTCTATAAAACACAGACCAACCATTTGCCTTCAGGAGTCAAATATACGAGTCGGAGTTAAGTGGCCTAACAAACAAAACCAAAGGCAGATAATCTCCAAGTAAGTGATAATCAAAAGACTTAGGAATGCATGGAGATCTATTCAATAACAATAATGCTTCATACTCACAGAATATGAAGAAGGTCTGATTCCTTAGATCCTATCTTCTGAGTTTTTCTAGTAATGTGAATGAAATGTCTTAGATATATTTTTGCTTCGCGTTATCAAAGAAAGCGTCAGCCTGGCCACGTCGCTCCTTCGTTCTGGGTCATCTGTCCTGGAGACAGCTGACCGTTTCACCCTCCTATACTTATTCAGGACTTGCTGCTTGGCAGCTATTTCTGTCCCACTCTGAAGTGACCCCGTGTTTTCCACACAAGGTTTAGTCAATCACAGCTTTTGCATAGTCACCGTGTGGATATCCCACATCTACATAGATGCATTCAGCTTCAAAGACATTTTTTTGTTTTAAATGTAAGTGGATTTCTTTGGTGTCTGCGCATTTAGATTTAAATGGAGATAGAACACGCCCACAATGCATGAGCAAACAATGTGAAAACCAATTTCTTTCTTATCAGCTGGATTTTGACCTGAGTGCATAAATTATGCATCCACTCGTCCATGGTTTAATTGCAGTCTTATGTAGGCTGTTGCTGAGTTTTGCTTTTTGTTGTCAGCCTGCCTTTCATTCCTTTATCTTACACCTGATTAGTGAAGAGGTACACGTTTGACCTCAGCTGCACCATTATGGGTAAAACACTTGGGACATTTTACTGATTTCTGGATTTACGGAGCTGCAGTTTTCATGGAGAAAACTTTGATGAATCCTAACAAAGAGATGTTATGTGAAACTCACCAGCTTCAGATGCTGCAAGCTTTTCAAAATCAATGCCCGCTATTGTTTTGTTCCTCTCTGTCTGGGTCTGATTCACCACCTGGGGAGAGAATAAAGAAAGCATCACTGCTAATAAGTGGCCTTACAGTCTGTCTGGTGCAACTGTGGAGGTGTCAAAACCAAAGCACTGCTGATAAACTGGATGTGTTATTATTATTTTTTTAAAGTCTAAAGAAATAGTTCCAGCCACGGCAGAAAGTAGAGCACTTTTGGAAAAGCTTCAACGCATCTATGCATTAGCGTCTATGTAGCAGTGTCTGCAAGCTGTTTTTGTTTTTATTTCCAAAGCTTCATCTTACTTGTTTGGAATAACCTCATGAGTACTTGCGCCACAATTAGCTTTATTTTGATATATTAAGAAAAGGATTCAGGAACAGTAAATGGTTCATCTAGAGATCGGTCAATAATCCCTTGTCCAGCTCTGAACAGAGAAATGGGTTGTTTTTTTTTTACTTCTAATATGTTAATTACATCGAAGCGGGGAAATTCAAATATTTTCAGTCTACAAATGCTTCAACAAACAGTCTGTATTTTGATGCTTGTTTTATGATGTTGATGTTAGATAAATATGTGCTACTCTACTTATTACTTTCTTTTCAGTTTATTCAAAAGAATATGCAGGACATGTTTCTCGTTTATATGTTACAGTTCTTTGAAATCAAAATCCTTTGGTCAGACACTCAAAGTAAAGCTATTATCAGTATCAGAAGAGCTTGATTGGATCACTTATGGCTTAAGTTTGTTATTGCTTTATTCTTGCAAATTCTGCAAGCAAAGTTATTGACTGCCAGACAGCAATGCAAAATATAACTAAAAATCCATCCCAAAGGAGTTATGCTCAAACCTTTCATGGAAGGCATTTTTGTTTTTTATGGGACTGGAACCATCATTTGGTGAATATGTTATATTTATTGACAGTTTAAAAAAATGGCACCTACTCTTCTGTAACTTCATACATATATCTGTGGGTGGAAGGAAAACAAAGTGAAGAAAGGACAGCTTTTGCAAATGAAAGATGTATGTTTTTTAAACTTCCTAAATGTAACACACATAGCTCCATACGCAAGCCTAAACAAGAGGAATGAACCTAATTTAGCTGAATTTCTAATGGTAGTTAGAAACAAGAACAACCAAAGAAACATAGCTGGGTTACGCAATTACCTTTTGAGTCAGAAAATCATCTTTTGGCTCCTTTTTAGTTTTCTTTTCAGCAGGTTTTTTCTGCTCCTCTGCAGCGCTCTGCACATCCTCAGCCTCTCCATTCACCGCTGGCTCGTCCACAGGGTGACCTAAAGCTACGTTTCCAGTTTTAAAACTGCTCTTTGGTCTCTGCTTTGCCGTCGCCTTCAACTCAAAAAGAGCCTTCAAGGCCTCTATGGAGCTGCCGGTGGTGTTTTGGAGGCTACCCACTGATTTACTGCGGGTCAGGGTGGCTGTGGACCGAGCTCTCTCCCGCTCTTCATTTCTCTTCATCAGGGACTCCAGATGAGTCTCCCTACTGTGCAGGGGAGATGAAGTCATCTGAAAAAGATATTTACAAAAACAAAAACAAAACAGCAGTTAGGACATGACTGAAGCATTTATTTTTCTTAAGTGAATCTGTAATTTACCTCCATTAGTGGTTTCTTTGTATTTCTTTCAACATTATTCTCTGGCGCAGGTTGACTTGATGTTGCATTTTTCACTGTAGTTTGATACCTACACCGTTATCAAATTTAAAAGCCTTTTTTTTTAAACATGTCATTGCATGTTCAGTTATCACAGAGACAGAAAAGAGTTGGTATATTTTTTTTATACCTGGCCACTAACTGGGACACAGATATCGTCCTGTCCTGCAGTCCTGCATCTGTCCAGATCGCCTTGTCGGACTGCGAGGGGAGACTCTTCAAAGACTGGCTGCGCCTTAGATCCTTTTCCCACTCCATAGTCGAGTCAAAGCAGGTCAGGTCTCTCCAATTGTATTCAAGCACTTGTCAAACAAAAAAAAAATGAATGATTTATCACCAAAACACCGCATTTCTGCTGTAGTCAGAATGTCTGCAGATAATTTGCTAGCCTCTCACCTTTAGTTTGCATCTTAAGTCTGTTTATCACTTCATTTTATGAAAAAATACTGCCACATTAATAATCTTAATCTCAAGAAAGAACATCATGCCATCTATTATGTTTTTCCAGAGGATATTTTAATGAATGGTTTACCTTACAGATGCCATGTAGTGCCTGTTCCCCGCGACAGCCTGATAGAGACACTTCCGCAGCATCATAAGACCTGCACATGATAACAGGCGTTTTTGGAGCAAAGTCCTTTTACTTCCTTATTGCCCGTACCTGTGTAGATTGGATCTGTAAATCTGTAAATATATATAACTTTGACCGGAAACTTCTGCAAAGTAGAGATAGCCTAGCTTGTATGAACAAATGTGGGCATTTTTTTTCTGATCTGCCTACATGTAAAGGTATATGTATATATAAATATTAAACTATGAACAGCCATAGCTCTGGGTGTCGACAATTGCTGCCAAAGGTGGATCAAGAAATTACTAAGCAAAGACTGTAAATACATACGTAAACATGTTTTGTTGGTTTTCTGTTTTTAATATATTTGCTAAAATCCCCCCCAAAAAGATTTTTCCACATTCACTGTCTACAAAAGGACAGATGGAAAGGTTTTGTGAAGAGAACCAGAGTGGAATAACGTCACCATGTCTTGGTACAGGAGTTTGTTACTAGCTTCAGTTGGGATCTTCATGAGGTCTTTTAATTCCTTTTGTCTTTTTGTTTTGGGTTTGATTTGCATATTTCTCAACCAAAACTCTTTAATAGCTGGAGAACCAGTCTTCTAGTGTTAAAAGCTAAGTTGTCTTTGTGCATGTAAACTTCTGATTCTACTATCAGCTTCTGCAACCCTTCCTAAGATCAAAACAGCTGTGTCATTGTACCACATGACCTACAAATCATTGCTACTGTATGCAGAAAGTAAATGCGGAAATCTTTTCCTGGAATGAAATCTCTTCTAAGTAACTTTCTTGTAATAGATTTGACACTTTCAACAGCCTCTCAAAGGGTTCCTAGTTCCAAAAGTACAGGACAAATGTCTGCGTGTGTTTCTGCAAGCAAGCAGCCAGGAGGAAGTTTCGTCTCCACCCTTTAATTCCAGGAACTCTTTACCCCGAGGGGTGAAATAAGAACAAGAGGAAGGGCTGCTCCCTCATTTTGCCGACAGCAGACCAACTAACGCGTAAGAAAACATTGTACCCAGTGGAATCAGAAGCGAATTCAGCTGTAGTGGAACATCAGGTAAATTGGGTCAGGACAGGTAAAACCTCATCTCGGCCTTGCCTTCAAGATTGCATGACATGATTTTGATTTCCAAGAGAATTTATTAACGTCCTCAGATTTGCTATAATTTTCAAGGTGCGGAGAAATCTTTTATTTTTATCTTCTCCCAAATTAGTTAATGTCCCAATACACATAATTCCCCCCATACTTTAATAGCAAACTATATTTATAACCCCTTTCTTTTTCACAGTGCAACGCTGAGTTAGACTAAACATTTTCCTCTTGATGAGTGAATGATGGAAGTCAGTGACCGGATGCAGCTTCCTTCCAAAAAAACCCTTTTTAACCAATTTCAATAATAGACTGAGCTTGACTGCATTTCTTGATAACTAGGATCAATTTGGAATAAATGTACTTTATCTAAAATCTGTCTTGTGACGCGCCTTGAAACGTAGGAGGATTTGTCCTGACAGAACCGCAGTAACAGGTTTGTCAACGGCAATGCTCGTAAGCAACTTTTCACCTCTGCTTGCAACTTTTCTGCAGAACTGAGATAAGGGCTTCGTGAAGGTCACAGCAAAACACTGATTTTCTTGTCCTTAACTAATTTGATGACCAATTCAGCATCAGGGTCAATGTCCATTTGAAGACCCCTTACCACACGAGCTTCGTCTTCCTTGGTGATGCATTGAAATGTTTCAATATTCCCACATAATACTTTTTTCCTCATTGTGTAATCCGTTATGTGCACTAGTATCTCCTGCAGCGAAACGTCCCCAAATTATGACACTGCCACCGCTGTACTTCAAAACTAAGGTTGTGCATCACCAATAAATCAAAATGCGAGTCACTTATTCAAAATTATTGTTATGTATATGTAAAAATATAACTTATGGCATTTAATACATATGAATAATTTTTGAAACTTGAGAGTGTAAAAAATGCCTATATGCTTTTTTATACAGTTTACATACATATCTGGACTGAGGTGAGCACATGAATATGAGTCAAATAAGTTAATGGTTTAACACACAAGTACTATTTTTTTTTTTGTTGATTTCAATGTTGTTTCATCACTTTGATGAAACAAGTCTTTTAATTTGGGATTTCTTTCCACTTGAGGGCAGTAGAGCGCCCTTAAAATGTATCTATTGTCATAATTTTATTACTTCCTCATGTTGATAAGATTTTAAATTTGCAATCATTTTGCAGCAGGACATAATTCAGTCATGCATGATACGGCTTTCCAATTTCATGATTGAGAGGTTTTGTTGTTGAAATTCAACCAACATCCTTCTGAGGCGTTGCCAGCATTGTAGCACTTAAGGTAAGTCTATGTGCTTTTGTCTTTGGCACACAATATTTGTTTACTCCCCTTTGGTCCTTTTTGCTGTTAATCAGTCTTTAGACAAAGAGAGAGCAACAGTAGCAGCAGCAGCAGCAGCAGCAGCAGTAGCACACACCCCTGGGGCAAAAACCAAGAGATTCAGCCTGGCTGCTTCCCCTCCCTCTCTCCTTTCTCCTCCCTCCTCCTCCTCCTCCTCCTCCTCCTCCATTCTCCTGCCCCTCCTTATGCTTCTCAAACCAGCTCCCGTCTCTGTCTCTAAGGCACTGGTGAGATGAAAGGGAATATGCAATGCGCTATGTATGACGTTAAACTGGGCACCATTATTAGGGGGAACTTTGCAGGCCACATCTGCATTTACAGCACAAGTCCTGTGTTTACGAAGAAGGTTAGTGGGGAGTCTGAGGGCAAGTTAGACAGCAGTAGATCTGACTCCAAGATTATGAAGAGTTGCATGAAGAAAAGCACAGTGTTTATGCCTCCTGCATGAGGATCCCTTTCTTGAGTGAATAACAATGAGGATAGAAGGGCTGCCTTTTCCCCAGCAGGGGGCGATAGAGACCACTACAACAAGGCTTAGTGTTTTTAACCACACTGGGGTTATGTGGGAACGTTATGCTGAGGCTATCCAAGGCCAAATTATGTTCTTTAAAAGTTACCAAAATAACCCAGAACAGCAGTCAGAACACAGGCAGGACGGTTAAGGATGACATTGTCAAAGTGCTGAGTGCAGTTCAAAACTCTGAACGCAGGAACATTTTTTTTTAAGGACATTGCGTGGAGTAAATATTTAATAGTGTCTAAATGCTGCAGCATAGCAGTTTGTTTTTGACATTTAAAGTAACATAGGAGGTAAAATAGGATGTCTGTTTGGTTTATTCAGAACATGTGATGCTGGTTGGTTGGATGTGAGCAACAGAAACACACCTCACAAAGCCAGCAGTCATGAGGAGGTCGGAGTTGGACGTATGCAGGCTTCGTGACACATGCACGGACAGTGGCTGCGTGACTCAGCAGCACTGTGCATGCTTGTGTGTGTGTGTGTGTGTGTGTGTGTCTCTGTGTGTGCATGATTCACTCTGCTACTAAAAATGATACTGTCCAACATGTAATTGAGGTAATCTAGGTGGTGATCGTTCAGATCCTGTCTGAGATTAAATAAAAACAGGCTTGGCGTTGGTGAATGCAGCAGAAAAACATGATTCATTCAGTAAGTTAGCGCTAGCTGCTAAACACTTCGTAACGCTACTCAGCTCACCTGTAGCTTAGTGGTCGCACATTATTTTTGGCACGTGAAGGAATATGTTATCCATTTATCGCACCTTTTCTGACCAGCTCACATGGACACCAGGAGGAAGCCACCATTGTTAAAATATCCCAGACTAGACATTAACCTGCACAGGTTACTTTTTGGCCATAGCTACTGCTCACTGTTTCTCGATTTTCTTTTTAGGTTGAAGATGATGACAATGCAAAATCAAACATGTGCCTTTTTGTTCTCACCTTAATATTGATATAGGATTTTAATGTCAGGAATGTCTCAACAGCTTTGCAAAATTCTTCCTAACAACCCAGAAGGAATAATGTCCAACAGGTTTTGGTTTTAATCGTTAAACAAGATAAGTTTATATGACGTAACACAGCACCATGTGTGAATCCAAACGCATTCAGTTTCTCCAACTTTTTCCACATTTGTTCACACTGTGATGACAAAGTTAAATGTATTTTTATTGAAATACTTATGTGATAGTCTGGCAAAATATTGCTTAAGTGTAAAGATACACGGCTTTTCAAATTTTTATGAATATAAAAAAAATATTTAGACCCCTTTACTCTAACAGCTCTAAATAAAACGGAGTGCGACCGTCCCCATGGAGGTACATGCCTTCATCTTAACCTTTCCATTTCAGCCCTGGCTATATGTTTAGGCTCTGTCTCTTGTTGGAATGGGGTTCTACCCACAGCATGACGCTACCACTGCCATGTCTTATGACAGCAGAGGCAGATTCTATTTAGTAATTAGTTCATTCTTGATGAAACCTGGTTGGACCAAAGTGGTTTAAGGGGCCTCTAATTAAAACGAACAACACACTTTTATTTTAGCAAAAGATATTGAAATTGTGTCTTCTTCGTTCCACTTCATAACCTTGCACATGTTTGTGTTGGTCTATTGCATACGATTATGATAAAATACAACAAAATTTGTGGTTCAAATGACAAAAAATATATATTTTGTACTATAAGCCACTGTGTAATTAAAAACATCTATGCCTTTGGTTCAATTATGACTGTTACATATTTGTGGCTACACAAGTACAAAGCACTGCAGAATGGATTTGGGAAATTAGGTTACTTTTTTTTTTTTTCATGACATTCAGTGAACACATGTACATGTACCGCTGCTGATGCCTGTGAAAGTTTCAGAGGATATTGTGGTTGCAGAGTCAGTATCTGACAGCAAGGTTTCCATGTCGCTTTTCACCTGAACTTGTAGGATGAAAAAGACAATTTGCAAAATAGTTGTCTGTCGCAGTTTTGCTGAATAATCACTGAGCATCCAGACGGAAGTGTCAGATCAGATAAGGCATGTAAAAGGAAAACATAAGTCATTTGGTGCTTTTCTACACAGTATGCGTC